AACCTTCTAATTGTTCGCCTCGCTCCATTTGACGCTCGGTCTGGAAAATAAAACAGAAAGCCCAAAGTCCTAATTTCCGCCCAAACTCTACAAGAACGCCTGCTCTGCAGGCTAAGCAATGCTCAATAAGAAAATCTCTAAACACCGTTGAGAAGGAAGCTACCATCAAGGACAAATGGCAGAAAGTATTTTAACTTGTAGTTGGATCAATTGATGATGAAGATAAACCTTTGTTTATCCGTTTCTGGGCATGCCCAAATCAATAAGAAGAAGACATAAAATACTCGTTTGCTTAATTTACTTTTCGACCACGAAGTAACACTCACGTTATTTACAACAATAATAAATACCACTTGGAGATTTTAGACCGTAATCTCGTGCGGAGCTTCCTTTGGAATCGTCACGCAACGTTCGGTTATATTAAAAAGCGTTACGCGACAGATCTCTGAAAGGATCCGTAGACGTCTTGGATCTCTAAAGGTTGCCTTGATCTACTAAAGAAAATTCATTTCCCATGGTATGAATTAAGCTTTAGTGACATGCCTTGTTCAACATGAATCAAAACCTTACTAAAAAGGGACTAAGTAACGGTTCAGACAACAATAAATAACTAATGAGTTGCTTAAAATGACGTCGTGTAAACTCCTAATTAAAGGAGTATGAAGGGTTTTGAGGCGCTCCACACCAGTTTCCCAGAAAACGCAGCACATCTTGACATTCAGGGCTGTGAGAAACCTGGAAAAGAGATTAAGACCATTAAGACATGATACATTGTGAAAAGGCTTATTCTTTTCTCTGCAGACACCTCATTAGCGAAGTTCCTCATGTAATGTGGCATTAAACCAGCGTTTAACCCTTTACACCCTAACTTCAGGATGTATATTCTCCCTACTGTTCTCTTTAGATTTCGTGGGGTGGGGACTGGAAGAATTTGTTTAACAATCAAGAGCTTTTTTAGGTGGTGATCATTTCCTTTATTCTCCTGACCTTAATGAGTGATTCAAGGGTGTTATTGTAAGAAGAAATTAGATGTTAGTCACGCTTAGGGTTCAAAGGGTTAAAGAGGGTTGTACCGAATCTTAGAAATATGGGAACAGATAAGACACGTGAATAGAGAAGACACGTGAACGGAGAAGACACGTGAAAAGAGAAGACACGTGGACGGAGAAGACACGTGAACAGAGAAGACACGTGAACAGGTAAGACACGTGAACAGAGAAGACACGTGAACGGAGAAGACACGAGAACAGAAGACACGTGAACAGAGAAGACACGTGAACGGAGAAGACACGTGAAGAATTAAGTTCCCCAAAGAGTAAGAGTTGATTGGTGCTAATGAAGGAAAAAAGAAGCGTCTCGTAAGGAATATAAAATATTGTTATTAGTAAATAAAGTGAGCTGTACGCAACGCTAAGGTAACTACTGTAAGTATAGTTGTAAATGTAGCATTGGCATTGTAATTTTGTATTGCAAATGTATTAATCGAAATAAAAGCACAAAATAAATACAAACATTGACTATCAAAAACGCAATCTACATTTTCAAGAAGGATTGGCACCTTGTCCTCATCTTTAATTTACTGTTTGCGCTACTAACAGTGTTCCCTAACAACCGCTCCCCAACATGAAAATACGTCCAAAATTGCAATAAGCTCACCTTGGTAGCCATAATAAACTTGTTCCAGTCCTCTTTGTTCGCAGCCTTGCCCGGCCGTTTAAATTCAATCTTGTTTCGCAGAACAGGATATCCTAAGAACAAGGGGACACCTCTTAGCTTAGTGTTCTGTAACATATTCCTATGATAAGTTCACTGTCATACTTTTTTTTTTTGGCATCATACAAAAACTACCCTCACCAAACGAGACTAGAAAATATAAGTTCAGAGCGATAGGTACTAGCGAAAGTAAGAAAAAAAGACGATTACAACGATGGATACGACTAATACGGATCACAGATCACCAAAGGAAAAAAAAAACCCTTGCCGTTTGGTGTTCTTAAATGAAGTCGTTTCTTTTGCATCATAAAAACCTGCCTTTATCGCGAAGGAAACTATTAAAGACAACTTCAGTAAGACGGAAAAAGACAAAAGGGGCCGTAATGAACCAGGAAGGAACAAGAATTGTTCAGGATTAGGAGGATAAAAGACGTTAAAACATCTAAAAAAAACTTTCAGACACGTTAGACGATCGACTCGTAAAGCCTTACCCGTGATGACACACGGTAGTGAAGTTATACCAGTGTTCACTGCCACCAGGCAAGCTTCATAACTATCACGCTCATCTGTTGGTAAAACTTGCTCCACCTAACAGAAACCACACGGTAAGATGTTTACTTAAATTGAACACTTCGACTTCGCTCGTAGAAAACGATTTTTTTTTTCTGCGCTAGTAAAGCCAAACTCATTGAAGCGATTTTCTGTCGTCACCCAGCTAATAGTAAGAATTGACGACGGTGCGCGAACTACCGAAAGTAAACCGGGCGCTGTTTGTTGTCGTTCTTCCATTCAGAAACTAAGTTCAAAACAAACCTTTTGATCCATTGAGACAGCCAACACCCATTCCTTCACTTCCTCACGTTTCTCTTCCTGGAAAGTTCACATCACAAAAAGAGACCATTGTTGTAAAATGTAAACATTTAAAAAGCGTTGAAGACAACAACTGCCTTATTACTTTGCTTTACTTTCTCTCGACTCACCGGTAAGTGCTGTTTTTCCGGTACCGGGACCTCGAATGGGATATCAGTGCCTGCAAAATCGCTGTTGTCCAACATGTCTAGACTTCCCTCTTCAATACCCTGCCAAAGAGCAATTTATTGAATAGGCCAACATTTTAGACGAAACTCCTGGCAATTTAAAAGCACACAAGATAAAGTAACATAAAATGAAGTTTTCTACCTCGCTGAGATCCAAGTAGCGGTTCAAGAAAACAAATGCCATGTTGTCCCAGCCGACGCCCTGTGAGTTAAGAAAAATAAAATGTTATGTTAAATGCAAATGATTTACCGAAGACATCACGTAAACGACCTGAGAGAGTTTTAGATAAAAGTGCGAAAATTAGATAATTTTGACAATGTTCTTAAAGGCAAGATCAGGTTATTGTTATCCATCAGTTTGTTGTTCTTTTTCGAGGGGGGGCAGGAACTAAAATCCTGTTTGGTAACAAATATCAGCTGATAAGTGTTTTTAAAATAAGGAATAATACATATGAAATGAATTAAAGATTACAAAAAAGTGACAACATGTATGTCTTACTTTCGCTGCAACTCCAGCTTCGTAAAAAGCTTTATCACA